CCGGGCAGCCATCCGGGCTCGCGCGGTGTGGAAAAGCGGCTGTTTTGGGCAAAGCCGCCGGGGGGAGGCTGCCCAGGCGCGAGCGGGAGCGCGCGGCCGCTGCGCGTCACGTTGCGTGGGGAGGCCGCCGCCGTGCCGATGGCCACAACATGGGCCTTTTCTCTCCTAGACTGCGTCAGGCGAGCAGGGGGCAAGATCCTGGTGCACTGCGAGGCGGGCATCTCGCGCTCACCCACCATCTGCATGGCCTACCTCATGAAAACCAAGCGGCTCCGCCTGGAGGAGGCCTTCGACTACGTCAAGCAGCGCCGCAGCCTCATCTCGCCCAACTTCGGCTTCATGGGCCAGCTGCTGCAGTACGAGTCGGAGATCCTGTCGTCCACCCCCAGCCCCCCCGTCGCCTCGTGCAAAAGAGAAGCGGTGTCTTTCTTTGCAGAAGAACTGACTTTGGGCAAAAGCTTTGAGGGCTCGTGCTTCGCCTTTCCTACCTCAGTGCTCACGTCTGTGCCCATCCACTCTCCCGTCCACCAGCTCAAACTTAGCCCCATGACGGCGTCCTCGTCCTGCTGAGCCCCGGGAAGCGGGACTGGGGCGCTCCTCTGAGCCTGACTGTGACCCCAACAGGGACATTTCATGAACGTGCAATACACAAACCTCATGGACTTGGTCTGAGACAGAGCAGTCATCGTGGGTGATGCTTGATGTATGTGTATGCGGACTGTAAGACCCGAGTGCTTGACGTGTGGCAACCTTTAATGTTTTTTTTTTTTCTCTTTTTTAAGAAAAAAGAAAACTGACAAAAGAAGTGCTTTTCTAGGTTTTTATCCACAGAGTGTGCATCCACTACTGTATTTCCAGATCCTTCTGGAGCAATGAGACATCTGCTTGGGATGTTCTCAGACCCCCATCTCCTCCCTGCTGTAGTTTTCAACAAACCCTTATTTAAAGTCTCAAGCAATAAACGGCAGCAGCAGGAAAGGAAGCAACACGAGAGGCCTCGGCGCTGCCTAGAGCCGTTCTGCGCTTTGCTCTTTCCCTTTTTTTTCCTGGAGCCACATGCTTCAGGGAGCAGTGGGGCTGGCAGGGCGGGAGGCACAACCGGCTCCTCTCGAGGGTCAGGGATCACCCACGAGGGCACTGGATGCCCAAGATGTTGCCCGTGTCTGTTTTCACCTGGGCGCTGGGAACGCTTTGCATGCAGGCAGGGAGGCTGGAGCGAAGCTGCTCTGCTCCCATCTCCTATTTACGAGCAGCCCTGCAATACTTGAACGTCTCAGCAAGCCTGCTGCTTCCCTCCAGGTGACACCATATCTGGTGTTTCTTACACCAAAACCCCTACTGCCCGTCTTCTCCCTGGCATTTTGGGTGTGCGTGGCAATGTGGTGCTGTGTTTTGTGGCTTGCTCAGTGCACGTGGTCCCCCCCCGGCAGCCGAAACCTACTCTCAAGCTCGGGCCGGGCTGCTCTCTCTGTCTCCTGACCTTTTTATTTTATTTTTTTATATATATATGTGTGTGTGTATGTAATAATGTATGGGAAATGGCAATAATTTCCATAAGATCTCGTGAATGTGAAGGAAAACCTGTGACGGTTTTCGTTGAGTGTTAAAAATAATAAAAGAGGGGAAATGAACAAACAGAAAAGCTATATGTGGTGCTTGGTGTTGCACCCTGCAGCGGGAGAGGGCGGCCGAGGGAAGCACCAAGGGCAGCGAGGCGGGCACAGGGCACGGGAGCACCCCGAGATACCATCTGCGGTGGGGGAAGGAGGTGAGGGGGAGGGTTTTTTTTTCCCCTTTCTTCTTTTTTCGTTAACCAGAATGACATGAGTCACGGTGGCGTCACTTCCC